CTTAGAATAGAGCATAGGTAGTAACATCAGCCTTGCCAAATTTTTTCTAGATAGGTCCCCTGAGGCAAGGGAAACAAAAACCAAAACCTATTGGAACTATGTTAAAGTAAAGCTTTTGCACGTTGAAGGAAATAATCAATGAAATTAAAAAGCAACCTACAGAATGGGAGATGTTTGCAAATGATATATTGATAAAGGGTTAGTATCCAAAATACATAAAGAACTTATAAAACTCAACACCTATAAGACAAATAATCCAATTTAAAAATAGGCAGAAGAGGGGTGCCTGGATGGCTCAGTGGATTAAGCATCCTGCTCTTGATTTCAGCTTGGGTCATGATCTCGCAGTCCATGAGCTCAAGCCTTGCATTGGGCTCTATGCTGACAGTACAGAGCCTGCTTGGGATTCTCTCTCCCTGTCTCTCTTTGCTCCTCTCCCACACACATGCATGCTGTCTCTCAAAATAAATAAAAAACATTTTTTAAAAACTGGGCAGAAGACACGAACAGACATTTCTTCACAGAAGACATACAGATGGCGAACAGACACATGAAGAGATGCTCATCATCACTGATCATCCAGGAAGTGCAAATCAAAACTATAATGAGATAATTACCTCACATCTGTCAGAATGGCAAGAAACAACAGATGTTGGTGAGGATGTGGAGAAAAAAGAACCCTTGTGCACTGTTGGTGGGAATGCAAACTTGGTGCAGGCACTGTGGAAAACAGTCTGGAGGTTCCTCAAAAAGTTAACAATAGAACTCTCCTACAATCTAGTAATCCCACTACTAGACATTTATCCAAATAATACAAAAGCACTAGTTCAAAAGGATACATGCATCACTATGTTTATAGCAGCATTATTTACAATAGCCAAGATATGGAAGCAGCACAAGTGTCCATCAAGGATAAAGAAGATGTGGTGTATATACACAATGGAATATTATTCAGCCATATAAAAGGAAATCTTGCAATTTGCAATGACATGATGGAGCTGGAGAGTATTATACTAAGTGAAATAAATCAGTCAAAGAAAGACAAATACCATACGATTTCACTCATATGTGGAGTTTAAGAAACAAATGAGCAAAGGGAAAAAAGGAGAGACAGAGAGGGACAAAGTAAGAAACAGCCTCTTAACTATAGAGAACAAACTGATGGTTACCAGAGGGGAGGTGGGTGGAGGGATGGGTCAAATAGGTGATGGGGATTAACGAGTGCACATGTTGTGATAAGCATTGGGTGATTAAAATAAAAACTTTTTAAAACAACATTCCTTTTGGGTTGTGTCAAAAGAAGTAACTATTATATAATGAAGTAATAGAATATAAGCGACAGTTAAGACAGAAAAAATATGAATGTTGTGTGTATAAGTCAGCATAAGCCACATTACAGACTTTCTAATAAAAGGACATGTCTGGCTTCACTCTTTTATAGGTATTCTTCAGAACTATATAAAGTGTCTCAAAAATTATTTTAGGCTCTTGTAATGCACTATTTCATCTCTTCCATGAAACAGTAATATTATACTATATTTAAGTATATATAAGTATATAAGTATACTTATAAGTATATAGAAGTATAATAAGTATATAGAAGTATATATAAGTAAGTATTTAAGGTTGCTCTACCACTGGAATGATAATTTTACAAATAGATTATAAATTCCATGAAAATAGGGATTATGCCCTATATTTCACTATTTTTCCCTTATAATCTCATCACACAGAATTATGCATAGAGGGGCACCTGGGTGGTTCAGTTGGTTAAGTGCCGATTTTGGCTCAGATCATGATCTTGTGATTCATGGGTTCAAGCCCCATGTCGGGCTTTGTGCTGACAGCTTGGAGCCTGGAGCCTGCTTCAGATCCTATGTCTCCCTCTTTCTCTGCCCCTCCCCTACTCATGCACGCTCTCTCTCTCTCTCAAGAACAAATAAACATTAAAAAAATTGTAAAGAATTATGCATAGAAAACGATATACTCAGTATGGTACATAAAACCTCATTACAGATCAACAACGGATTGTGATGCTTAGGAACGCTAACTCTGAACCCCAGTTAAACACACCAAAAGTAATTTCATTCTCTTCATTAGCAGACTTGTACTATGAAAAAATTGTACTCAATTATGTTTTGAATTTCAACAATTTAAGAAAAAATTTTTAAAGAATTGTTTAAATAAAATTACATTTTGAAAAAATATTTCTGGTTCCTTTGAGTATAATCTGTGACTGTTGTTTGAAAATAATACTTGCCACTTAATTGCTCTGCTTAGCCCTTGAAAATAAAAAACAGTTGATGTGATTTTGTTGGGGCCAGGTATTTTGTAATACACATTAACACAATTGCAAAAATATCTGATCTCTTGAATGAAAAACAAAAACCTTTGTTTATTTGGGTCCAGATTTCTTATTCTAAATGTAATATCCTACAGGTTTGTTACACTTACTCCTAGTAACTAGTAGCCTTGTCTCAATTCCTTTCAATTCCTGCTCCAGGTTTCTTTTCCAGTGGAAAGCAGCTCTTGGTTGAGACTGACTGGTTTTGCCAAAGCCAGGATCACAGCTTTGCTTACCTTACCACATATATTGCTTATAGTTTGTCCATTAATTTTCCTGTTAACTGGCTAAATTTCATAGATGGTTTTTCATGCTTTAAAAAAATCTTTTGGTTTAAGATTTTAATTCACTCATCGAACATTTATGGAGTTTCCATTAGATTGTAAGCTAGAAAGAGCAGGAATTAATGTGTTTTTGAACTACCATTTTTTTAAGATTTTTAATTTTTTTAAGTATTCCCTACCCCCATAATGGGGCTCAAACTCACAACCCCGACATCAAGAGTCACATGTCCTATCAACTCAGCCAGTAGGTGCCCCTTTTCACTACCATTGTTTCCAAAACCCTGGGACAAAATAAGTAATTCAAAATACATGTGGACTAATTGTCAGTTATCAAAGGCAGCTTTACTCTAGGTGCTGGGACCTTCTTGAGGGAAATGTAACAGGGATAGGTTATACAAACAAATGTCACGTTGCAAATGTTATGACAGTGTTATGAAGCAGCGGGAACAGATTCCATAAGGTATAGACGAGAAGGATCTTCTGTCTTGGGAGACATGGAAGAAGAGCTCCCTGAAGAAGTAGCCTGAGCTAAGATCAAAGGATTGTAGATCAAAACATTAGAGGAAGAAGAAAGGACAGAGAGTTCCATCCTGTTTAGTTTCATCTCAGTGTTTTTCCCTTTCACTCAATGTGCCCCCCACCATGGTATTTATCATTATAAACCTTCCTTGTTTTTCCTGCTACCTTAGTTTGCTAGCTACTCATGGACTTCTGCATAAATCTCAAGTGTATGTAGGTCTCCTTTTAGGTAACAACCAAACTTTTCTGTTAAAATTGCCGGTAATCATTTAGAAACTAAGGACAAAATATAAAAGAGAAAATGAATTAACAAGAAGAACACCTGTCTTCTACTTAATTTACTTATTTGCTGCGGTATGCTTGAGGAAGTGCCATATTGATAAACACTTAATAGATTTTGGCTGGTTAGTTCCTTGGCTGGTTGACTGATTAGCTGGCTGGCCAGATGTTGGTTGGCTGCTAGCTGATTGGTAGGTTGGCTGGCTAGCTTGCCAGGTGTTGGTTGGATGGCTGGTTGCCCACATGTCCATTGATTGGCAGGCTGGCTGATTGGTTAGCTGGTTGGCTGATTGGATGGATGTTGGTTGGTGGGCTGACTGGCTGGTCTGTTGATTGGGTGATTAGTGAATAATAAGAGTGGTAGTTTAGCTTTGGCTTTACAGTCAAACTTAATTTAATTCAAATTCTGACTGAGTTTTCATTGACTATGATATAAACAATTAAGTTCTGTAAGTCTCAGTTCTTTCTATAAAGTACTATTTTTTTCCCATAGGATTATTGTAAGAATGAAGGTGATATCGCATATAAAGCTTTAGCAGTACCTAAAGTATGTTAACTATTTGTTAGAATATGTTCACAATTTTAAAGAAAAGAAGCTTGAGTATTATTTTCAAAAGGAAAATATTAATGAAAGCAAGTGATTATTCTTGTTAAATGTCTTATTTATTATAGTCCTTCAAATATGTTTCACTGCTGCAAATACACATCTATTACAGGATAGTACCTAAGAAGGAGTAGAAAACTCACAGGCACACAAGCAAATCTGCTTGACAGATTAAAACTTAATTCTCTCATCACCCACCCCTTCTCCCTCTCCCCTTCTTCCTCATTGGTCTATCGTTACATTATTTCAGGGCTCACTAGGATGGCAACTTTCCCTATCAAAAAAAGAAAAAAGAAGTGGTAATATATTATTTGACATGAGTTACAGTGGTTACACAGGTGTGTGCTTTATAATTATTTAAGCTGAACATGTATGTTTTATGCATTTTCCTATATGCATACCCACTCTTAAACATACACAGAGGATGCGAAATTGGCATGTAAGAATGTGATGGAATAGGATAGTACAGGTGAGATATAAATCTAGGCTGGGTCTGTATAAGCAAAGGAAATCCCTTAAAATTCCAAATTGAAAGAAATACACAAACAATAAACCCTGATTGTGCAAAAGGAGATGAAGTTTATTCCAGCTACTCCAGAATGGCTATCTCCTTGTACAAGTTAAATGGCTAGAGTGGCAAGTTACTGAACTTAGGTGTGTGTATGCTAGTCTGCACAACTGTAACCCGCTCTGGAGTCCCTGTAGTGCGGGATTTTCCCATATCATTTGTCACTTGCTTAACATTGTGCATAAAGAGCTTCTCTCAATGACAGAGCTCTTTAATAGACCTCAATTACTAGAACCACTTTGCACAAATAGGACTACCCCATCTCTTCTAGCCATTGTCATTAGCACTCATGCCACTTGTGCATGATTTCAGAGATAGCTGGCCTGGTTTATTAAATGCCATCAGAAACAAGGTCAAGAATTACACATCTTTATTACTCACAAGCAGCTTTTGGTTTTTCAGCGCCGACTGGGAGATGCAGCAAAGAAAGCGATCAGCAAGCTCCAGGTCAGAACCATCAAGAAGGGCGACAAGGTAACAGCCTCTTTTCTTTTTTGGTAAGGGGCTATCTTAAAACAGTTCCTGACTTTTCTGGAAGCCAGGGTAGAAGAGAGGGAAGGATGGGAAAAGGGGATACGTGACAATAGCTCTCCTGTAAGTCTGTTATTATACCCATCTTTATTAATATAATTCAAAACAGTTAATAAGATACAGGCAATAGAACAACAAAGTCGTTGGACAGAATATATAAGAAATTGAAAAGTAAGTATAGGAAAAACAGGTGGAGGTAGGATGCAATTTGTACACAAATATATTACCTGAACTGTGTAACAGAAAATGGATCCCAAATTTAGGTTGGGGCTTTCCGGGAGCCAAGGCAAAGAAGGAAAACATATTCAAGCAATATCTAATTACCTTATTCTGGTGTCCCACAAGGTAAAAACTAAATGGTTGTCCCTGGTGTTCCAACTTGAGAATATTTGTCCATAAATCCTTGCAAAGAGGACAGTGTTATATGATGAGTGATGTCCTCCACTGATGTCTGCAGTTAATACAGAAAGCATATTCAGTCCCTCTGACTCTAGCATCTAGAACCCCAAAGTCACTGCAGCAGCCTCCCTAGCTGTAGAATGATGACATAAGACCAAGAGCAAAAGCATATCTTTTTTAAATTCACTATAATTAACATACAGTGTTATACAGTAGTTTCAGGTGTATGACCTAATGACCCAACAATTCTATACATTTCTCAGTGCTCATCAAGATAAGTGTACTCCTGGGGCGCCTGGGCAGCTCAGTTTGTTGAGCCTCCGACTTCGGCTCAGGTCATGATCTCATGGTTTACGGGTTTGAGCCCCATGTCGGGCTCTGTGCTGACAGTTCAGAGCCTGGAGCCTGCTTCAGATTCTGTGTCTCCCTCTCTCTCTGCCTCTCCCCTACTCACGCTCTGTCTCTCTCTCCTTCAAAAATAAACATCAAAAAAAAAAAAAAATAAGTGTACTCCTAATCACCCTTATTTGTTTTACCTGTCCCCTCACCCACTTCCCCTCTGGCAACTACCAGTTGGTTCTCTGTATTTAAGAGTTTGGGTTTTGTTGGTTGTTTTGTTTCCTTTTTTTTTCTTTGTTCATTTGTTTCTTAGATTCCACCTATGAGTAAAATCATATGGTGTTTGTCTTTCTCTGACAGACTTATTTCACTTAGCATTATATTCTTTAGATCCATCCATGCAATCACAAATGGCAAGATTTCATTCTTTTTTATAACTGAGTAATATTCCATTGTGTGTGTGTGTGTGTGTGTGTGTGTGTATGTGTGTACACATATATATACACCACATCTTCTTTATCCAGTCATCTATCAATGGACACTTGGGTTGCTTCTATATCTTGGCTATTGTAAATACTGCTGCAATGACCATATCAAAAGCAGAAGCATATCTTGAGGAGGAACAATAAAACAGTATAGTCCAGGCCCACAGACTTCTAAAGGTCTCTCTTCTCCCCAGAAGAAATTATAGAGCAGCGGATTGCAGTACATGTATTTGGGGCTCCTTGGGCCATTGTAAGGGATTCTCAACTCTTACATGTATTGTCTTTAGTCTGAATAATTGATTTGTCTCACTACATGCTGCTGTTTTTCAACTATATAAAAATGCTATTGAGCTTGATAAGATGAAATTCATTTAATTCATTACTAAACTTAAAGTATATTTTTTCATTACTTTTTCCCCTCAAACAGAAGAATAAAAGAGCAGGGACCACCACATAAATCATATACAATGGGGTATTGAAAGAGATTTATATACTTGAATAAAAAGTTAAATCCATTGTTCTGGAGTTGTGTACATAAGATTCCCAAGGAGGTGATAGATGAAATAACGTTCAGACAGTTCTCCCTAAACGCTATTTCTCATCCTTGAGCTTTTGATGTCACCTCTAATTATAATAAATAGCATTCTCAGTGATGGTATTTTTAAAAGTTACTTTCTCACAATTATAATAAATAGCATAATTAGTAACGATACATTAAAAAACCGTTCCCTTACAAAAGCGCTTGCAGTGGAACCCAGAAACAAAAAGTGGAGGTTGGAAGGAATGGAAACTGAGCAATTTTTGATTAAGAAAATGGCAGCTGGGCCATTGAAAGCCTTGCTCCAAGCAAGCTCTCCTTGCTTGTTTGGATATTTCCCCAAGAGCTGAAGCTACACAAGTAGGCTCATCTGTATTTTCTCTGTTACAGGAAACAGAGCCCGATTTTGATAACTGTGCAGTTTGCATTGAAGGGTACAAGCCCAACGACGTTGTACGGATCTTGCCCTGCCGGTGAGTCACTGGGCTGCCTGCTTTTGAATGGGGTGTGCATGCCGAGTGCCTGCTGACCTCCCTGGCTCAGACCTGCATGGCCTAGCCCAGCAAGGTCAGTCTGCACAACCATTTCCGGGTTTAAGTATCAAACAATCAAAAACCTTGTTCTTTTTGTGTGACCGTTCCCCTTGAAAACATTCTTTCTTGTGAAATAAATATTTTTCTGATCTTCCTTGCACCAAAGGATGAGTACTGCTATTCATTAGAACCTCATGATACACAATTTGATGATATGGCTCCAAGTAAGAGCTTTCTGTAACAACAAAACTGTGGTATTTAGAATCAGTTCCCACTTTCACAAGTGCAGTTTTAATATAATTAATGAACTCTTAAAAGTATGCTGTGAATACTCATGAAGGGATCAACAGCCAGAATATGGTCAGGAGTACCTGGGAAGTCAAAGGCAAATTTCATTTCCCTTGTTTTTGTATTTTTTGGATTTTTTGTTTGTTTGTTTGTTTGTTTTGTTTGTTTTACCGGCAGGAAGGGAATGTGACAGTCACTCCGAAACTCCTAGAATTTGGAAATGCCAACAGGTCTAGTTTCAAGAACTCCCCAAGTGATTTCTTGTATAACCCTAATCCTTCTCCCTAATTGAAATTCACTGTTAAGGTATTTGAATTTTTTATATGGCTAAAATTAAATAAGTTTAAATACTTCAATGAAATCAAATACTTCAAGACTGCATAAAAGCTGTCTTCCTGTAATTAAACAGCTTTTTTAGTGTTGTTGTTGCATCTGTGAAGTATCCTAGACATAAAAAAATTATCCCTTGAAGAGAGGTTCTTCACTTAGAAAGATTAGCTTTAAAAATTCTTAAGAGTATTTAAGTAAATAAAGTAGATAAAATACACAAAGATATAAATCAGGGCACCTTTAAGAACTGTTTTTTAGAAATACAAAAGAAATAAAATATGCCTGTAAAGGAATTAGTTTAATAATCCCAAAATGACAAAGAAGTGTCAAAAAAAAAAGGACAGGGTATGCAAATAAATGCAGAAACTCCCAAGGGGAATGGTCTCTTCTGAAATGCTTTTAGGCACATTGATCATCAGGAAAGGGCCTGGAGAAAAGTGCACTGTGCTGGCCCTAGCCAAAGCCTTCCCTGGGGATTCACTTTCCCTAGTTTATAGATGCTTGACTGTCTCTACGGCAAAATCATAAACTGGGACACATGAAGACTCGATGGGTCTTCCTATGAGGGAATGTATCAATTCTCTCTTCAGACATTACACTTGGTATTTACTTGGTGACTTCTAGAAACACTGGCAAAGAATGGCAGGCGGTGTGTGAGCTACAGAAATGCTGCTCCAGAGGTAGCATTTTTTTATGTCTACAATATTTTACTAAGGGTTTCATAAAGCCTCATAGAAGCGAGGAACGTGCTTTGCTTCTGCTTGGTGTATGTTTAGAGCTCTATGAGGGTACTACTAAAAAAAACATCAAAGCAAATTTAAGTTGAATTGAAACTTTTTCTTGAGAATATAAATGTAATTAAGAAAATCTGTTTTAAAAACTATATATAGCATTACTTTAGCTCTGTAATCCATATTGTATAAAGTGACTTCTTCATCTAGAGCTCTGTCATGTATATTCCATGTTACTGCGCAGAATTAACTAGAAGCTGCATAATATCCAAGCCATAGATGTACCACAATTCAATTTACCATGCGCCTGTTGTGGAACATTGGCTGATTTCAGTTCTTAATTATGACAAATTACATTGCTTTAGCAGTGTTTAGATTGTCATCATGTACTATTCCAGATCTATCTCCTACAGTATAATTTTTGGAAATACTAACCAGGGAAATAGCATTTTAATATTTACAAAAAAAAAAAAATAAAAGTTTAGGAACTTCAATTATATTTATACTAGCCCTTGCCCTAGGCCAGTTCAGTTTGGCCTGAAACTCTTCATTTTTACATTATTATTTGGTTCTCAGCTCATTCCTTGATTCTTTCTGCTTCAAGCTTCTTATTGTCCATCTGCTTTTATTTCCTTATTGTGGGCCCTGCTTTAAATAACAAAATAACATTGAGAATTACCAAGTACAGGTTAGAGTTCCTTATCGTTTGATCTTAGATGAGCCATATATATTTACTCTTTGAAGAGCTCATCCACTTTTTCCGTGCTGACTTTAAAGTCGAGATATTTTGATGCCTGTTGCTTGTTTCTGCCAGACAGTCTGCGCTAATGGATGTTATCAAACAAATGCACTGGCATTTGCTTTTTGCTACATAATTTCCTCTGGGGTATGATTAAGCCCTAGCTCCTATGAACTTTATAGACTCTCTTTCTCATTATTTCCAGGCTGACTCACCCACAGAATTTTTTGCATCCCCTCGGAGTATAAACAGTTTCAAAAAAAAAAATCTAGATTTTGTCTTTCTTCTTTTATACTCTTTTCTGCAGCCTCCTAACTTCTGACACACCAGGTACATCACTTCTCTATTGGGGTCACTTAGGGTATCTTTCCGAATCACTCCAGGATATTCTTGTACCATGATTTTTTCAGAGTCATTCTCTTGTTTGTGTCTTTTGGAAACCCTTGCACAAATGAGGATGAATTAATAAATGATCTCCCTTCCTTATTTGTAGTCACGGCGATTACTGAAGTTAAGTCACGCACATACGCACTTACCATTTTCCCCCAGGGGCCTTCTCCGGCACATGCACAGACGAGGCTCCCTGTGGGGCCAGACAGGCATGCACATCCACAGCAACACACAAAGCACCTCAGGGTCAGACAGGGCCAACTTTTGTGGTTTGGGTTTGATCCTAATACACCGCTAGGATGTTTTCCAAAGAACTTTGATTTTGCTTACAGCATCTATATGCCGAAATCTACATTACAGTTGACTTTAGGGCTGGTTTTGGCGAGTCAGATTTGTACTTGTGATTATGATTTTTAGCTACACAAGATATTTTATTGAAGCACTGAATTGAAATGTTATTGTCTTCTCTTGTCCAGAGAATAAGCTGGGCTCTCAGATTCTTCCCGTGGCTTTTATCCTACGGTGTTCCTTTTCTTCAGTAGTTAACCATTTCAGTCTATTTAGCTACCCAGTTTCAAACACTCCGGCTCAAAAAGAATCTGACCTCCTTGGGCAGGGCGAAAGTCTGCCATTAAAAAAAAAAAAGAAGAAGAACGAAAGAAAGAAAGGAATATATGCATCCTTTCCCTAGGTGCCTATAGAATTATTTCCTTTCTCTGATGGATCCCTACAGCATTATCATTAATTTAGGAGGGTATTAGTGTCTGCTACTGTCTTTTCCTTTGACTTTGGGAACTCTTGTATGTTGTAGGAACAATTTTAAAGGGCCTGAATGCTTCATTTGAAACAATAGACATTTATTGTGTGGCCGCCGTGTGCCAGGCATGGTGTGAAGTACCAGAGTTGAAAACTCTGGCATGATCTCTGCCCTAAAGGAAATCAGTGTAGTGTGGAAGAGAGAGATGTGAGTTTAAAAAAGCAATCACAATTCAGAGCGATGCGTACAACAACCAAAGCAAGATGGATTTTAAAAAGTTGGAGGAAGCAAAGCTAGGCACAAGAAAGGCTCCACAAAAAAAGTACATTTTCACACTAACAGCAGTTTGCTTTGTCTATTACATCTTCATTATAGAAGATTGGTATACTGCGTAAATATTTAATTGTCTGACTCCCTCAGTGTTAGCAGATAACAACTGCTAATATTTGTGTATATTTCCTTGCTTTGATTTGCCATGCCTATTTTTTCAAGTTTGAGACACTACTGTCAACATCGTTTATTATCCTCTTTTCACTTAATATTCTAAGAATATGTTAGAAATGGTTCCAGATTATTAGTGGCTCATTTTGACTTTCCTTTGGCCTCTGACTCTGTAGGCAGAAGCTGATCAAACTCTAAATTAAATAAACCAACCAAAGCCCCTGGCATGTTGGTGCTTATTTAGAACCTGCTCCTCAAGAGTCCAGATGTTTTCACAGGCCAGTCAGAATATTCTACTGAGGTTAAACAGGAAGGTGTCCTGGTTCCCGTTAGCTTGTTTCTTAATAACCTGTTGATGAGCTCTTCGCGTCTCACCATCCCACCCCACTTGAAGAAAACAGACAAAAGCAGTTTTTCACATACAGATGATATCGTTGGGTTATGCAGAAGTGACCCGTGGAAGCAGCATGCCCTGCTGGCTCCCTGTCATGACAGTTGGATTACAGATAACATCCTCTCAAACTAAATTATCATCTTTGGTAGATATGCCCCCACTTTTACCTTGCTCATAAACAGAGTTCCCATGCAACCAATTCCCTCATATAGTCACATTTTGTAAACAGTGTTTCCTGGAGGACACTGTAGGAGGCAGTCACTACTACCTGTGCTCTTACTGAGGTCTTTGATTTTGATATTTTAGAGCAGGGGTTAGTGGTTGGATAAGGAAAGCAACTTAGTTATAACACCTATCCCAAAATAGTTCTGGTTGGGAAGCATTGCGCTTATACTGTTTAGTGTTGAAGCTTCAAGCCAGCTTCCAGTGTTTGAAGGAGAACAGCAGGCAGGGCTGCTCTGAGCACCCCCTGAGTCAAGGTCAGTGAGTGGCCTGTGGGTCCAGGCTCCTGGTTCTTCACAACAGGATGTCATTTTTGTCCTGAGCAGGGTTACCTGTTAGATCAGATAATTCTGGAAAGGGTTGGGGGGATAAAAGATACATAACATAAAATTGACCTTTTTAACCATGTTTTAAGTTTATAATTCAGTGGCATTAAGTACATTCACATTGTTGTATGATCACCATTACTGCGCTTTTCCAAAACTTCATTTTCTCAAACTAAAACTCAGTAACCATTAAATGTTAACTCCCCATTCCCCTAGTCTGGAGGGTTGTGTGTGTGTGTGTGTGTGTGTGTGTGTTGTATTTTTAATTTAGCCTTGACCTTTATTATAAAGAAAATGTCAATGAAGAAACCTAGATTTTGAT